CGACGACGATGATGATGATGCTGATGATGACAACGATTATGCTGATTATGCTGATGTTGCGGCTGCTACTGCTGCTGATGATGATGACGGTGGTGGTGGTGATGGTGATTGCGACGGTGAGTTGATGATTGCGATGATGGTTCCGGCGATGATGGCGATGACGACGTAGATGACGATGACGATGACGATGCCGACGACGATGATGTGATGATGTTGGTGCATGTGCTGGTGCTGATGGGGCTGCTGCTGATGATGCTGATGCCGACGACGTTGATAATGATGATGCTGATGATGATCAGGATTATGATGGCGATGATGGCGATGATGAGGATGATGATGACGTTAATGATTACGATGACGATTGCGAGACGATGACGACGACGATGATGATGATGATGTTCATGATGATGATGACGACGGCGATGATGATGACGACGGTAATGATGATGACGATGGTGATGATGAATGATGATGCGGATGATGAGGATGATGCTGATTTTGATGATGAAGCTGATGATGCTGATGATGCAGATGAGGATATTGATGATGATAATAGTGATGATGATGGTAGTGCTGATGCTGCTGATGACGATGGTGCTGATGATGATGATCATGATAACGATGATGATCATGATGATGATCATGATGATGATGATTCTGATGATCGTGATGATGATAGTCATGATGATGCTGCTGATTATGATGATGGTGACGATGATGATGGTGATGATGATGGTGATGGTGATGCTGATAACGCCGACGATGATGATAATGATGATGATGATAGTGACGACGATATTGATGATGATGCTTATGATGATGAGGAGGAGGAGGATGAGGAGGATGAGGATGATGATAACGACAGTGGTGGTTATGCTGATAGCGAATTCCGATGCTGATGATGACAAGGGTGATGAGTATGATTATGGTAGTGATGATGATATTGATGATGGTAGTGATGATGATTCTGACGATGACGACGGTGACACCGACAGAGATGATGATGATGCTGATGATGATGCTAACGATGATGCTGATGATGATGATGCTGATGATGCTGATGATGATGATAGTGGTGGTGGTGGTGATTGTGTTGGTTACGACGACGACGATATGGATACTGATGGTGGCAACGATTATGTTGATTATGCTGATGTTGCGGCTGCGGCTGCTGCTGCTGCTGATGATGACGGTGGTGGCGATGATGGTGATGATGATGTTGAGCTTGATGATGGCGATGATGGTTCCGGCGATGATGGCGATGACGATGTGGATGACGATGACGATGACGACGCCGACGACGATGATGATGATGATGATGTTGATGATGCTTGTGCATGTGCTGGTGCTGATGGGGCTGCTGCTGATGATGATGCCGACGATGATGATGATGATGACGATGATGGCGATGATGACGATGCTGATGAGGATGATGATGACGTTGACGATGACGATGACGATTACGAGACGATGACGACGATGATGATGATTCTGCTGATGATGATGATGACGATGAGGATGATGGATGACCACGACGATGATGATGTTGAAGATTAGGATGAGGATGATGATGATAATGCTGATGGTAATGATGCTGACGATTATGATTTTGGTGGTGATGATGATGATGATGATGATGGTGCTGATGCTGCTAAGATTCTGATGATGATGATGATGATAATCTTGATGATGATTGCCTTGATGATGCTGCTGATGATGATGGTGATGATGATGATGGTGATGATGATGGTGATGGTGATGATGATGACGATGACAACGATGATGATGATGCTGATGATGTTGTTACTGATGATGATGATGATGCTGATGGTGCTGATGATAACGACGACGATGATGATGATGATGATGATGATGATGATGATGGCGACGACTATATTGATAATGATTCTTATGATGACGATGATTATGAGGAGGATGATGAGGAGCATGAGGATAATGATGACGACAGTTGTGGTTATGATGATAGCGAATTCGTTGCTGATGATGACAAGGGTGATGAGTATGATGATGGTATTGATGATGATGATTATGATCAGATAATGATGGTAGTGATGATGATTCTGACGATGACGACGGTGACGCCGACAAAGATGATGACGATGATGATTCTGATGTTGATAATGATGATGATGGTGATGATGATGCTGATGATGCTGATGATGGTAGTGGTGACGACGACAATATGGATACTGATGGTGTCAACGATGATGCTGATTATGCTGAAGTTACGGCTGCGGCTGCTGCTGCTGCTGATGATGATGACGGTGGTGGCGATGATGGTGATGATGATGGTGAGTTTGATGATGGCGATGATGGTTCCGGCGATGATGGCGATAACGACGAGAATAACGATGACGATGACGATGCCGACGACGACCATGATGTTGATGATGCTTGTGCATGTGCTGGTGCTGATGAAACTGCTGCTGATGATGATGCCGACGATGATGATGATGATGATGATGATGATGATGATGAT